AATTGTTCTTGGCGGATCCAGCGGATCCAGCACTTGACAAGCGTGTTGGATCCGCCACTGTCTACAGTTAAAATATAATTTAGGAGTAAAAAAAAAAATTCATAAAAAATTGTTCCTGGCGGATCCAGCACTTGACAAGCGTGTTGGATCCGCCACTGTCTACAGTTAAAATATAATTTAGGAGTAAAAAAAAATTCATAAAAAATTGTTCCTGGTAGATCCAGCACTTGACAAGCGTGTTGGATCCCCACTGTCTACAGTTAAAATATAATTTAGGAGTAAAAAAAAATTCATAATAAGAAACTATAAACTGAAAGTTTTACTAAGGAGCATATATGTAATTTTATTCTTTTAAAAAACTTTCAAAATCGATGAATAACAAATTCCTAAGTATAGGTTGGACAATTTTAAAAATGGCTATTAAAATTGATTTGCCCATAAATGCTCAAAATCGATACTTTAAAAAAAAAAAAAAAGGATCATAACCAGTATGTTGAAACTCTCAAAGTAGGACCTTACTATCTTATCAATCTTAGTGATGATAAGTGGGAGGATTTTTGGATCACTTCCTCATATATTCTCATTTTACCATTTTTTAATATATTAGATGATATTATTTAGATGGGTACCGATTCTTCCATGCTCCGTCAATTTATTCAGACGCTTCATGAATCCTTTGCCATAAAAGGCCTTGCAGATAGGATAAGCTTAGAGAAATATTCATTTGCTGAGATATTGGATGCTTATCGAATGAGGAGAATTGTACATCAGAAAAGGGAGAATCTTTGTGAACTGGCTTCCACCAATCAAAGATTTGTGCTAAAGAATATAAACCTGATCAAAATAGGCTTTTTTGACTTCTTATTATAATTATAGTAGATTTCTGGAATCCATCCTTCGAGCGATGGTGTAAGGAATTTTTTTCAGAAAGAACGTTAAAGAATGAAATAAACTTCATTGGCCTTGGTTTGGTTCTGGTAACCTTTTTCTAAGGCAAATCCGCTTGGTAAGGAGATGAGATTCCAGGTGATGAAAGGAGGTGTGATTGAGCAAGTGAGAAGTGTGGTTCTCGAAGTTACCATGGTACAAGTCTTAGGTTGGCCTATAAAAGTCGTGAAGCTTTACTCCCTGTTTTGCTACATGATTCTAAAGTCATTCACTTGATGTCAAAAAAATGGGCTAGCCATTTCGGACATTTCCCTCATGGAATGAGAAGATTGATGCCACTATCACCTCTTGGGGCAGAGCCCAAAGAAAAACTAGGCAAGCCAAACCGATCTCGGTTCTCCTCGAAGGCGAGCAGCTTGTGGGCTCGTCGAAAATTAATGTGACCATTTTATTTTTTAAAAGTAACTCTATAAATACCCACATTTACATTTCATATTTTTCTAACACCAACTCTACTCTCTGCAAATTCAATCTACAATTCTACATTTTACATTTCTCAATTTTCAATTTTATTTCTCTCATACATATACAATTAGTATAATTCAATTGGTATTATATCAGTTAGTTGTTCATATTCATTAACTAATCCATTATTTATATATTCCATTTCTAGTTTCTACCGATTTCTTCTACTACCAAATGGATCACAATAACTATTTGAAGAATATTGAGCCTATGTTTGGTGGTGTAGACTCCAACACACCATTAACACCTCAAAGTGCAAATCCCATCAGGTTTCCAATGTTTGATAACTATTTCAGTAATCTAATGACATCCCAATCCCCGTTTATTGGGGGGATAAAGATTTGCAGGGGAGCAATTGATTTTGATGACATCAATGAAGAAAAAAAATTGTATGTAGTAGGTGCATCCGATAAACGAAGAATGAAACGAACTTCCAAGTGTAGAAATGTTGGCCAAACATGAAACTATGGATCATACACTGATTCAACTCCAATTTGGTTATCCAAGTCTCGATGCAAGTTCTAGTACACTAAACACATATGTTTATTCAAATGAGAAGTGTCGTTAGCGAAGGGTCAAGTTTGTAGCAAGTTCTAAGCAGTTGTTTAGAATAGTGGAAAACAAGCAGTTCACCAAATTCATACATGAATATCTTCAACCAAGGTAGACTACAATTGGTAGCAAAACTCTTCGTTCTAATCGCGTTGACTTTTTCCTAACGAGAAAGAAGTCTCTCTCTCTCCCTCACACTCACACACACATATATACACACACTAGTAATAAGCACGTGTGTTGCATGTCTTATGTGCGGAATGAATGATATACATAATATTTTTAAAATAAGGCAATTGATAATGTTAAAAGAAAAAATTTTAATTGTTAAAGAATATACATATAAATAAAAGTTTTATGAAAATTACGTACATAAAGTGAAAATGTTGAATAAAATGAAATGTAATGATTTGTTTATGCTAGACTTTGGTTGGACCCCTATTTTCAACTATTACAACGACATCAACTAATTTTGTGATTCTGGTAGATATAAAGATAAATCAAATTAAAAGATATACATTTGATTAAGTTTAAAATGTTTACGTATAAGTATACTAAAGGTATATATATAATTTTCAAATTAAAAAATTACTCATTTTATTTATACCATAAACTTTTTTATCTAAAAAATAAAAAAAAAATTATGTATTAATCATGCTCATCATATTAACCCATAGCATTTATTTTAAATTAGACACCAAAGGTACATTCAAAATAGATATTGAAGTGAAAAATCTTAAACAAAAGTTATCGTTTTCTTTTGAATGAGATTAATACAAATAGACGAATAACAATTCTCGATTAAAATGTATTGAGATAAAAATCTTTTTCTTTTCTTTATAGATTCATATCTAATAAGTAACAGGTTACCATCAATTTTATGCTTATACAATAATGAACACGCAATAATAAATACCCAATACTATATTAATTATTTTCTAGAAAACATAATATTAATTTTTATTAATATTTAAAAATTTGATTTAGTGAAATTGTGAAAATGTGTAATTGAAATGTAAAGCTTGTATTTAGTGTGTGGATACAAATATGGGAAGTGTAAGTAACTCCTATTTATTAGGAGTAATTAGTAAGGTCTTTAAAATTGATGGATAATTTCTCCCATCATCGATTCTTTCCCTCCTAATTGTTGATCACACTTAAGATTTTTTTTTTTCGATTTATTGTCCTTTTTTGTATTATTAACTTAATTAATTAAACGTGAAGTTTATAATTTTTGGATGAAAATATTGAAAATGTTATATAAAGACAAAATGGTAAATTGAACATTTCTCATCTATTCCACAATTTATTTTTATATATATTGTAATTATAATATAATTATATAAGTAGATGAATGTTGATTTTCAGTGAAGCTCACGTATATGAATAATAAATAATATAATATATATACACGTTCGTATAAAATAACATTATAATATATTAAAGGTGGCACTAATGATAGATTAATTAAAATTTAATTTTATGTAGTCTCATTTTAAGCATAAAGTTCATTTTTCATATTGGAACACTCATAATTTTAGATTAACTAAATTAAGTTTAATCACTTAAAATCAAAGCTCGTCTACATATATAATCATATTAAAAATATAATAAATATTATTTTATATGATAATTAATCTGCAATTATATTAATGCAACCTTTAATATATTTTATTATATAATTATAATAAAATTATATCTATACTTGAGCTTAGATTTTTGGTGAACTTGATTTAAATAATGTAATTTAAGTAATTAAAAATAATTTGATTAATGTAAAATTTTAAGTACTCCAATATAAAACAATAAGCATTACACTTAAATAGATATTAAATGAAATTAAATTATATTAAATGGTACTATATTAAATATATAAGGGTAGAATTGATATATAACTACAAATATAAAGGATTTTTATTAAGAGCATTAATTCAATTTATTCAACATGATATTGAAAATGAGTCTTGTTTAAGGAACTCAAATGATGGCCCTACATTCTCATTTTGATATTTTAAAAAATTATTTTAATTTGATTAATAGCATTAATTCAAAATGAAATTGAAAAAGGGATGTTCAAGGAGCTCAAATGATGGCCTTAAATAATCATTTATAGAAATTAAAAAAATATTTTTTAATTTAATTAATAGCATTAAACTTAAATGGATATTAATTAAATTATATTAAATGGTACTATATTAAATATATAAGAGTAGAACTGACATATAGCTAAATAAGTAAAGGTAAAATTGGTATTCAAAAGTTTCTCCTCAATCCATACTTTTAATATATTGTAGATATATGAATAATCTTCTAAACACTGGTAACAAGGCACATCAATTAAATGTTATGCTTTGTCATCGGTGCTTAATATAATGCTAATAATATATTTGATGTTATAATGATCATTATTAAAAAATATCGTTGTGAGACTAAAATTCGTAGTTTTACTTTTGACAATGCATCTATTAATAAATTGGTAGTTGATCAATTATGTCGGATTCTTAATCCCAATTTTGATGGTTTTCCTTTTCATGTTCATTGCATTTGTCATATATTTAATATAATTGTGCAAGATGAATTAAAACAAATCAACATACACATAGAAAGAGATAAGAACAAACTAATATTTATTACAATATCACCTTATAGAAAACAAACTTTTAAGAAGTTCTAGTTTTGCTTAGGGTTAAGGTTCGTTTTTAAGGGTTTTAGAAATAGAGAAATAACGTTATTCACTTCAATGCCTTTTTATTCAAGTGGACATTTAAAGTCGTCAAAGTACTACGTCTTGTTGCCGTCTATGATAATCATTTCCTCTCTCTCTATACGTATGTGTTTGTATATGTACACACTTCCTCGCATCGCCTACGATTTTTGTCTCTCTGCTGTAAATGTACGGTTACGTTGCGCTAGTTTCGTTTGTATTTATACGGAGAGGGTATATTTGTATATTGTTATAGCAACGCACATAGTCACATGATTTGAGTTTACAATATATGTATTAATATTGGGTTTGTGTGAAAAGGTGATATATGCTATTTGGGAAGATAAGAATGGAAATTTATGTGAATTACAATTGGTTAAAAATAAATTGTGAAATAAGAATGGAAATTTATGTGAATTACAATAGGTTAAAAATAAATTGTGAAGTGTTCAATATGTTTCATTTGACTAGAATTTTTAATTCGGCACAAGTTTCGGATCTCTATGGACCTCTGTAATGTTCTATTCTTAATTTTAGGGTTTCTTTGGTGCGACTCAGTATCACTCCCTACTAAAGTAGCACTTGAAATTCGACTTTTGGGTTCTCTGCTTTTTTCTCCTCGGTGTAAGATTTAATGGTGTAAATTTTTGTTTAATTTGTTTCCATACTATAATTCGTCTTCTTATTTTGTTCTATTTTTTGATGATTGATGCATATATTGGTTGTTTTGAAGATAGGCGCACTGTTTTATCGGATTATAGTTTTGAGTTCAAGAAGAGCTCTGGGAAGCCCTAAATTTTAAAGTAACTGGAATCGGGGGATAATTGGCAAAGGTGGGGATTATTTATTTTTTTACATGTAAAGTGTTTTGTAACTGTTCTTTACTTGATGCTTGATGACTGGAAAATACATTTTAAAAAAGAGAATTCCAAATTTAGTTTTGGTTTGAGATTTAATTATGGAAATAATCGTGCATTTAACACAAAGTATGCAGGCTATAATTTTGTTAGAAACTAGGATTAGTGAAGTATCTTTCTTTTACTTTACGACTTCTGTCTTTTTGTGGTGATTGTGTTTGTCATCGATGGTTGTTGTTTATTGATGTTATAGCAAATCGAGAGTTAGTAATCACTGTTTTAACTTTTAAGGATTTATATTTTGTTACTTGTTTGGACTGATATATTATCTAATTGTCCAACTCCAAAAAAACCTCAAAGCAACTGCTTTCACAAACTTTTAATGCTTTTATATGTGAATCTGCTTTTTGCATAGTTTGGTTGTTGTCCTTGTTTGAGCTTGATGTGTAATTGTGGACTTTTACTTGTTTTCCAGTGATAAACTTATGCTTGGATTATCTTGCTCTTTTTCCTGCTGTCAGTGACATGAAAGTTGGTTATCCATAAGAGTTGTTAGTTCTTTTTCCAGCGGCTGAGAAAGAATGGGCTCTGCTTGTTGTGTTGCTGCAAGGGATAGAACTATAACAAACAGATCGTCAAGTGAAGTTTTGCAAAGGAATGTCAGGTATTCACCATCATGGAGCTGTCGATGGGATAATCGTGGACGAGTAGCTGGGGAAGAGACATCTGTAAATTGGTTGCTTGATGAAGGTGCTGGCAATAATCGTTTGGATGCCAAATCTGGGACAACAATAGGAACTGCCTTCGGTTCTGAAGATGGTAGCTCATTGGATAGTTTCCGGTCACTTCCATGGCAGAAGTCCCCAATTACTGATAGAAATGCTGGGATTTTAAGGCTTCCATCATCTGGTAAATTCTAAAAATCAGTTGTCAATTCTTTGTAAATCAAATAATAATAATGAAGAAAATTTGTTAAAATGCATTGCCAATTTCACAAGTGCTATTGCCAACAACACCCATCTCTAATGGCAAAAGCACAATATGCTGGCTATTTTGTTTATGCTTCTCAGTTATTCATCCAACTCTTATCTGGGTTTATTTGTCATGGTTATTGGTCCTAATGACATTTTTTTTCCCACTTCACAGCTTGTGTATAATACGAATGAACTTTTCACTCAAGGGAAAAAAAAAAAAAAAAAAAAAAGGAAAAAAAAAAGTTTTGAGTCGTAAGTTCTTTCTCTACACAATTGATGTACGGAAATCATAATAAGTTTCTTTTTCGAGTCTACTTTCCTCTTCCCAGTGATGATATATGTGGAAATAATAAAAACTTCCTTTTTTCGAGTTCATTTAGCGTAGATACACTTCATCTTACATGATTATGAATACACACTCATCGTGATTAAAATGTGATTACATTATTATTCATGCCGGTGCTCCCAGGCGAACTAAGTTTCAGCGAAACTTAACACCTTGTTCAGTTGTTTGAGCCTCGTTTTTGGGAGACAATGTATTTTGGATTAGTGATTTTAGGAGAATGAGTCCTTAAAAAATAAGGAAAAGTTTTGGGTTTACATGTAAAATTATTTTATGGGAGAATGTGTGGTGGAAAATAAGTTCTAAAAAAAAAAGTTTTTGGGAAAATGGAGGCCAAACATAGGCTAAGTGTCAATGCATTTCGATTTGTAATGTGACCAGTACATAGTATATCCATCTTTCAATCTGGCTGAAAAAGAAAGAAAATTACTTTTCTTTTGTTAAATGTGAAGGCTGTCAGGCTTCCTAGCCTTTGTCAGAAAATGGTGTATAGTGAGGGAATGCTAAATTCAGCACTGTTGATGCTGGTGGAAGATAAGTACTAGGGAGACAATGTAGTTTGGAATAGTGATTTTTAGAGAATGTGTCCTTAGAAAAATAAGGAAAAGTATTAGGTTTACATGTAAAATTATTTTATGGGAGAATGTGTGATAGAAAATGAGTTCTAAAAAAATAAGTTTTTGGAAAAAATGGAGGCCAAACATAGGCTAAGTGTCAATGCATTTCCTTTGTAATGTGACCGGTACATAGTATATCCATCTTTCAATCTGGCTGAAAAAGAAATAAAATTACTTTTCTTGTGTTAAATGTGAAGGCTGTCAGGCTTCCTAGCCTTTGTCAGAAAATGGTGAATAGTGAGTGAATGCTAAATTCAGCACTGTTGAGGCAGGTAGAAGAAAAGTTTTGAAGGGAAAGATTTTCATATTAAGAAGATAAGCATCCTGAGAATATGTGGAACATGAATGGATTCTTTACTTCTGTGGTTTAACTATATAACATTTGCTCCTAATGGGCCTAGGTATAATGAAGATGTTATGACAGTAAGATGAAATATATGAGTAGACATACAAAAATCTGTGTTTATAAATGATTCGTATGACTTGTTGTTTCCTCTGGGAAAATGAAGGCATTCCCTGGGACTCGCAGAGATATGAGGTTGAGGCTAATGATCGGTGAAGAAATATGGGGACATTAAAAGACAGATTAATGGCATGAATAATCACAAAATTTTAGTAAAGAAGTTGGTGTGCACCCTCATTAATTTTACAGCCCAATATTATATGTTTCTTTGTTAATATTAGGAATGTTTATTTATTCTGTTTCCTCTGTGAAAGCCGAAAGGTCATTTGCCTGTTTGTGTAATCTTCATAGTGTATGTTTGTGAAGGTGTAGTAATTATGTTAGAGTAAAGTTTCTGACAACTGATTTGAGGAATTGGGCTGTCAATTAGCAAGCTTTTGAGTTTCATATGACAGCTAATGCTGCAACTATCACACTTTTGTGTTGTGGTTTATGAGGGACGACTGACTTTTCACTTCATCAAGATTTCATCTACTTGTAAAGGTTGCAAAATAATTATGATATTATCGGAAACCTAGAAAAGTACCATACTTTAGGAAAAAGATATAGATGCACTTCATGTAATTATGGACCTGTGTTTGATGGTATCTGGAACTTGTTGCAGTGATGAGAATTTGTTCTATTACTTGGTCACTATACATGAGTATGCCTACCAGTCTGTATTTATCAAGACCAAAGAGTGTTACTGCTCATTCTTCCTACTTTGAAAGGCCGTCTTTTTACCATCTTCTGGTTTATTATTCTAGGATCAATCCAGAGTATATGCTGAAACCACAGTTCTATCGGTTGCTGCAGATATTTTGGTTTTTAGGCGATTCCCCTGTATATATAAGTATTAGGCTCTGGTAGTTATTGCCTTCTTTGCTGCTGAATTTTGATTAACATTTTTCAGAGGGTAGTGGTAAGGAACTGTGCTGTGCTTCAATCACTAAATCTATGTCGGCTATTGGAGTTACTGCACCTCCTGGTTGGGAAAAGGGACCAAAAAGTTGTCTAACATTTATCAATGACCTGTAGACATAGTGCCATGCGTATTGGTGCTCCATTAGTTAATAAATTCCATTTTTACCTGCGTTTTATTTAGCCCTTGTTTGGGTTCCATTTTAATGAGGTTTTGGGAAAAATGTATTTTGGAATAGTAATTTTTTGGAGAATATGTTGTTAAAAAAGAAAAAAAGTTTTGAGTTTACGTGTAATATTATTTTATTGAACGATGTGTGGTTGAAAAGAAGAAAGAGAAAAATGTATTAAGATTGAAATGGAGTCCAACAGGGACTTAATCTTCAAGGAATTAATTTGCATCACGAGTGACATAATGCTTGTTGTTTAATATTTGACACAATAAGAAAGTAAAAATGCTATTTTTTTAATTCATTATTTGACTTCTCTTAAATCGTATTTGCAGATTCATCTACTGCACAGAATTTGACAGAGGTATGCGAGGGAACTGATGATGATGATTGAAATTATTATAATGTGCTTGGGATGTTTTTACATGTGGATAGTTTATAGGTTGATCAAACTTCGTGTTTTCCGCCTTGCTCAATGTTCAGGTGAAGGAGTCCGCAGAATTCCCAGTGGTTTCATATCCATCTCCTGTAAAGCTGTCTCCTTCAGCACCTTCGGTTTCATCTCCTTTATCATCCCACGGTCACCTGCTTCATCCAAACTCAAGTCCTTCAAGGTGCCATCACCGTTCTCCTGGACACCAGCTATTACGGCAAGTATCAGATAGTCGGATTCCAGTATATAAGTCACCGACATTATCAATATCCGAAGAGGAGTCATCCTTTGTGCTCCCTGAATTGTGTGATGATTCGACAAGGGGATCCAACAGGGAGTCTTCTGATAGTTGGTCAATTCCTGCCTTCTCTGAGCTCATGGCTACTCGAAGAGAGAGGAGGTCATTTGATAGTGAATTATCGGGTTCGTATCGTGACAAAATAACAAGGTCTAATGGAAGAAATTCAGCATCTCTTTCTTTTGATCTCCAAACTTGTGGTGTTTGTGCGAAGCCTTTAACTCAGAGATCTTCATGGCGGAGCCAAGAACTCGCTGCTGTTGCAGTTTTAGTTTGTGGGCATGTGTATCATGCTGAGTGCCTGGAGAATATGACATCGGAAGCCGACAAATATGACCCAGCTTGTCCAGTCTGTACTTTTGGGGAGAAGAGGGCTTTGAAGATGTCCGCAAAGGCATTGAGATCTGAAATGGATTTGAAAGTCCGAAAGCAATCCAGGAATCGCGTTGTCAGTAGTGATCTTAGTGGTGATTTCGTGATGTTTGATAATCAGAAAAACATTAGGCTGGAAGGAAGGGGTCCCAAGTTGAGCTCAAGTTCCAGCATGAAGAGCTCTTTAGGAATGCCTTTCTTGAAACGGCACTTCTCTTTTGGGTCCAAGGGGAGTATATCCTTGGCAGAGAATCATTCTACACGAAGAAGGGGATTTTTCTGGCCAAAATAGTGAGGAATGAGCTTCCTTATGGATCTAAGAGGTAAGTCTCGTGTCCATGTTTGTGAGAACCAAAGAAGAATATTCTTAGTGAAGTTTGTAGTTATCGTCGTCACATGAGTCCAATCAATTTTTTCTAGCCATTGGGTTTCCAAATTCTGTTTCGGTGCACATTGGTACACTGGATGGAAATCTTCAATTTTTCCTTCAGAAAAGTGACATGCTTTGCATGTAATGACTTATTTGAGATTTATTTTGTTCCAATCCGCTCCATGATCTTCAAAAGGAGTTGAAAGGAGGAATAAAAGATTTGAATACCTAGACATCAACACTCTATTTCTCTGTTTAAAATTATTTTTGAGGGAAATGTGGTGGTTTGACGGAGACCCTGAGACAAGGCAACACGTGCTAGGCGACAGGTTAACTGAAAAATTGATATTTCCATCTAAAAAGGACAAACATGCACCACTAGAAACTTTTAGATTTAAAAGGCCTAAAAAATTGATTCGTGACTCGTGTAATTTATTTGTGGAAGTTTGAGAACTGCAGCTGTAAATTTCCTGAGTCTTTATTAATTTTTGCAGAATTTAAGAGATCTATCCTAGTTCAATGTTCAAAGATCGATAATTCTTGTACATCTGATTCCACGAGCACGTCATCCTCTGATTAACTGACTAGCAGGATTAAGTCATCATCATCTTCCCGAGGAACAATGGTGTCATCTGCAGGAATAGGGTTAGCTAAGGTACACTCTGTGTATGGTGCATAATTTAAATTGATTTCATGTTATTCTATAGAAAAACAAAAAATAGTAGAAGGATATCGATTGTGAGGCTGATTCTCTTTTGTTCCATATATTGAAATTCAGTTGTTTTCTATTTTATGTGCATCATATAATATTGGAAGACCTCTCCATGTATATGGTTAAGGAGTTTATAGTTATCTTCCTTTCATTGCCTGTTCGAGGGGGGCCGAGCTGCCCAGTTACCACTACATTCAGCACACATTTTGTTGGTATACACTGCCATTCCCATTCCCCTTTGTGCAGTTCGTACTGTCTTGATCTTGGTCTTGATCTTGATCTTGATCTTGATCTGTTGGTTTCGAGAATATATCAGATTCATAGTACTTGATCTCTAACCTAGTAGACAAAATTGTGGGTTTTTGTGAAACAAATTTGTCCAATTTAAAGCTTACCTTAGA